TAACTAAAACCTCTCATAAATAAAGGTCGACTGAATTTAATTTACATCTCTAATTGCTGCACCACGAAAGAATGCATAGTCATAGGCTTAGATATCCTTCTGGCTCTCCATAACATTGTAAAACCAGTGTGCAAAGTAACTTTAATATCAAATTTTAAAATCTACGAGGTTAGAATGTGGAATTCATGAAAATGATATATGCCCGTGAGGCAGGGATAATCAGCACAACCATTTATAACAATACTTGAAGGGAGAGGAGTTCAGAAACATTTTCACTCACAATAGCAGGCTTTCTTGGGTTTTCTTTTGCATCTTCAAAAGCAAGATGTTGCTCCAGGGTCTTCGCTTTCTCCTCCGAGGGAGCATCAGATAATTTTTTGACCTCTTTAAGCACAACCAACCATCTTTTCATCAACTGAGCTCTTTCAGGGCCCCTACAAGACATAGCAGCTTCTTCCAATCTTTGAATAGTCTGCTTAACACTTCTGAAATTTTTTGCCCCCTACATCAATAAAAGCCGAAAAGACGACTGGATTATATAATAGCCAATCTCCCTGGTAGGAAACCGTAAGAGGTTAAGCAGAAGCAGCAGAACCAACCAAAAATACTCAGAAACAAATCCAGGACCCTGCGGTAAAAGATGAAACTAAATGGTTGAAAGAAAAATTAGGTATCAGGTTGAACTATGGATATTCTGAATCTTTAATCAAGTTCTAGGAAGACAAATTCTAGGTGGCAGAGCCCCGGAACATCAAATAGGTTTGCACTTTGTTTTCATGGAAAGCCTACGAAATAGATACTCAGCACTTCGTTTTCCATTTTTCCGTTTTAGTCATAATTATTAACCCTTAGGTCTACCCCGACATTCACCTCATCCTCGTGTTCTCACAAGAGATTCTACAAAAGTCAAGTCGATTTCTAAATGGCTCCGTGTGAGATTTCAGCTAATACTTAGCGAAATGCAGAGAGATATCAATGCGAGGAAAAACGCACAAAATTAAACGAGATTAATCCGACGTTTCCAAAATCCAACACAGCTCAAAATGACACAGAACCAACAAAATCAATAAGGGAACAAAATGAAACTGAAACAGAGGAAGTACAATGCGATCTTGGAGAATTTTGGCGCCCTCCGAAACGGCCTGGCCGGCGTGGTGAACAACGGTGTCGGCATAATTCTTGACAACCCGAGTGAGGTTGTTGTTGTTCCCAGCCTCCACTGCTTTGCTCACGGCCAATCTCAGCCACGACATTTCGAATTCCTTCTTCTCTGTAACGTGATTTTGGGAATTAATAAGCAAGTGAATGATGAGGAAGGAGAAAATTAGCTGGGGAGGAAGATGATTCTCCCGAATGGAAGACAGCTCTAGGGGTTTATGTGTTCTGCAGAAAATGGCGCTAAGTGTGCCTCAGGAATTGGGAAGCATCAAAGTCAATCGGGCAGGGTCAGCGATGCGGAAGAACGAAACGCTGACGTTTCGAAATTTCTTTCAGATAACGGGTGGATCGAACCCAGGCCCATATGGTACTCTCGCGGCCCAGTTCCATGTAGTACTCTCCCAACCAGGCCTAATTTCAATTGCCACGCGCCACCTGTTTTATTATGAAAATTAACATTTAAAAATTAAATAAAATTCTCAAGATTTAATATTTTGACTGAATCCTTAAAAAAAACAAAATCCTCCAAAAGTTTTCATATATATATATATATATATATATATTAAGTTTAATGGATCATTTATCAAGAGATTTAATATACGAGCGTTTAAAACTTTACTAACATTTGAGTGGGAGTTTATAATTGTCTCACTAAACCACTGACAAACATATAATTTAAAACAAAAAGTAAATATTAATTACATTGATAATTAAATTCAACTAAGTTGAAAAAAAAATTAATTTTTATACGTTTCATTCTACCTAATAATTATTAAAATTAAAAACAAAAAGTTTTTTGATAAATCATTGATAAAGTTATTAGTTTAGTCAAATTTTCTCGTTATAATTATATTAATTTTCGATTTATTAATTTTATAGTTAAAACTTGATGAATGTAATTAAAATTATTTAGAATTTGGGGATTTAGTAAACATAATCATAAAAAATCAAGATCTAAATTCATATTTGAATATATATATATATATAATGTGGAATTAGCCATAATATTCAAACCTTGTGCGAGTCACCTGACAAATTAACAGTTTGATTTTTGATTAAAAGCTACAAATGGCCTATTATTTATAATTAATCTAACTAACGTCAACAACTAAATAGCATTACTTTTTCAATGCATTTCACAGTCACTTCCAAACTCAATTTTTAAAAATTAACCCTCCGCTAGTTTTTATTTTAATATATATTTTATATTATTTATATCCATGGATGATTAAATAAAATTAATTTTGATGTTGTAATCTCATCCTAGTATTTATGAATCCGTTTGCACTATCTTATAATTAAACATATGTATATATATATTATTTTTTACCGACTTATTTTAGATCACATATTTATTTAGTTACAATCAAATATATTAGAAATTTTATCAATTATCAATATGCTATTTTAATTTATTAAAATATATTACGAAGATTTTTCTACTATAAACTTTAAAACATTTTTTATATTTCAAATTATCATACCTTAAAAAGAATTAATATAATTTTTTTAAAAACTAATTCTTATTTATTCATATTAAATAGAACTAGTTTTTATTACCTAAAATAACTCAATAAATTATACTAAAATACAATTTAAATTTCAAATATGGTTATAGAAAAAAAAATATTTTTAAAAACTTTTTTTTCGATAGTTATTTCAAAATAAGATTTTTTGTAAATTAAAGTGATTTATATTACTTACAATTTTACCTCGTATTTATTGATTAATTTATAATTTTATATCTAAAAAATTTAAAATTTATAAATTGATTGTATCTATGAGTAGTTTACCCATTTACCTCTACAATAAATGTAATTAAATAGTAACACTATTTTTTACAAAATAAATTAAATATTTATAAGTATTTTGCTATCTAAATTATTAAAAAAAATTGAAGTTGTTATATTTATAAGAATTTAAGAATGGAAAGTGATTTTTCAATAAAATTATTATAATGAATTTTATTAGATAGTGTGAAGTGTTTAAAATTATCTCAAAAAAAGTTATTTAAAATATTATTCTCAAAATTATTCTAATTAATTCGCTGTAAACTGATTTTATATTTATGAAATTAAAATTATGCATACAATTTTTCACATGTAACACGATTTATAAAGTCATCACGGTTGAAATTAAAGTGGACCCTAAATTTGATCCAAACCAGAAGAAAACACTGTAATTAATAAAATAAAACAAATAAATAAAAACACAAATAAATAAATGTTTTTTTGGTGAACTGCCGTCCAAACGAGAACGTTGAAGGCATTCTGGTCTTCATTATGCCTTTGATGCCATATTATAATCAAACCGTTGCGTTGAAAATCATGTATCTAATTAACTTTGGTTTCTAATCATTTATTTTGAAGTTTTCAAAGTCTACTAAAATAATAAATTACCCTAACTAATTTAGGTTAAACTACATATTTAATCGGTAGGTTAATAAGTATTTTTATATTTTGTATAATAAATTTTATAAAGGTAAATGTCTATAGTATTTAATAAAATTTATATGACACAAATAAATAATTTCTAGACTTATTAGTAAGTTGGAGTTAGTAAAGCTTTTAAACCTATTAAAACACAAAATTAAAAGTTTATAAATTTATTTGGCACGTTTTATAGTTCATAGATCTTCTAGGCACAAACTATAAAGTTTAAAGATTTATTAAACCCAAATTGAAAGTTTATAGAATTATTACACCATATGATTTATGTGACACAAATCAACATATTTGTGAATTAAATGACTATTTTTTATAGTTAATAATTTTATATTCCACTGCATAATTGTTGAACCAACTAAATCATGATCATCATTTCATAGGATTCAATAATTATTAATGTATGGTACACGTCTTATTATTCATCACGACAAATGACCCATTCAAATGCCCGAATATCTCTTTGATAATATATTTTATACGTCAAATTTTTTGATGTCTCTATCTCGTATCTGTGACATTATAGTCTTAAAACTTGAGTAGCAAAATATAATACAAAGCATAAAATTGTAATTTCAAATTATTCCTTAAAAGGACGGGTCAAGACAAAGAAAATACAATGATATTGTCCGGGGAGGTAATAGTTGAAAAATGCATATTTAAAAATGTCAATTTATCCCATGGAATCGAAAGTCCTTATTTACATTGACAACGTGTACATTTAAAAGATTCTACCCTATAAGTTAAATGAGGAAGAGTACAAAGATTAAATTATGCATTTCAGTTCTTCCTTCCGATCCACTTTTTATTTTTTATATTTTTATATTACATCTGTATATAAATTAAAATTTTTGAAAAATAAAAATAAAAATTACACTATAATAACCTATTCAAACATTTTGAAAAATTATTCTATTTAGATATAATTTATTTTTTAAAAACAACCGAAAATAATTTTCCACATAAAATCAAAATTTCTTGTGGGACATCTCTCAGCATAGTTAATTATTTTGTCAATAAAAAATAAAAATAAAAATAAAAATAAACAAATAAAAAAGTGGTCTCGTACGAACCAAAAGGAAAAAAAAACGCGCTATTTCCTAATTCTGACACTGACAACCTTCCAGCTGTTTATCTCCAAAGGAGGATAATAACGGTAATAATATCGTTCACGGTAAATTCCCTTAATATTTTTTGTAATTTTTTAAAGTTAATTTTATAATTTATTTTAAATAATTATTTCATTAAAAATAAAAATTAATCTATAAAATATTAGCACACGCTAATCTTACCCTAATCTTAATGAAATATTTATATAGAAGAAGCGAAGAGATTAGAATTAATAATTTTTTTTAAAAGATCTCTTTAATTATTTTGCGGGAAAAAAATATTCCTCCGTATCCTTTCCATTATTCCCACCAGCACGAAGCTTCTCCGCCATTTTCATACCAAACAATGGCCGTTCTACCAACTGTGGGCCTATGGGTCCCTCCGCTTCGAGTCATCGATCGCCGTAGCTGTTCTGAGCCCTTCCTTCAAACGACTTTGACCCCGCTCTTGCTTATCCAATCTGCTCAGCCTTTCCATTTCCCTTGTGGCTTTTTTCAGTCGTATTCCGCGAATTTGTCAAACACAACGTGATAGGTTGTTTATTGTTTCGCTTTTTGGTTCTTTGAAATTGAAGCGAACCGATTTCATCTGCCTTTGTCGTTCTGGCTTGCATGATTGGTTTGATTGACTCGAGTGTCCTTGATTGTAATTAAGAGTGAGATTCTCCTGGCTGTTTCTTAGTACTTGCGTTAATGGCGGATGGTATCTGATTCTTTTGCTTGTTCACTTGTTTTGGCTTCTGAGTTCTTTTGATCTTGGTAATTGGATTCGTTCTGTTTGGAGCTTCGTGTTCCAAGCTATTTTTTCCACTTCATCTGTCTCTTGGAATCTCAAATTTGCTTCCATTTCTGAATGTTCTTGATCGACTTGAGTTTTGTTGCATACTGATTGATTCTTCTAGGTTGTTTCTTACTCTTGCTTTAATGGCGGACAATGAAGGCTTCCTTCTGTGGTGATTGATTCTTTCGCTCATTGGGCCCTTGTTTTTCTTGGAATCGCCTTCGGGATTCTCTGATTTGTTGTTTTTTTGTTTCAATCTATTTTCTGTTTTGATCATCTTCATTGTAAATCTCGCTTCATCTCTGAAAGATAGCCGCCATGAGAGCTTCAAATGATCATTTTCTCATCTGGATTCTTTGTGCTCTGTGCTTATCATCATCTCTTTCATCAGGATTCACTCCCGATGATAATTTTCTGATCGATTGTGGATCATCCTCCAATAGTACAGTAGGAGATCGTCTATTTATATCTGATGATTTTTCATCTAATATTCTTTCCAACCCAAATGGGAAATCTCTTTCCACTACAAGCAACGTATCTAGTTCATCTCCATTGTTCTTATTCTCATCTCTCCTTCGAACTGCAAAAATATTTGAAACAACTTCCAAATACAACTTCAAAATAAAGAAGCAGGGCAGGCACTGGATCCGCCTCTACTTTTACCCTTTTGTTTCTGGAAACATGGACTTGAGTTTGGCTAGATTCTCAGTTTCTGCTCAAAATATCACCCTTCTCAAAGAATTTCAGATGGACAGTGGCTCGGTAATCAAGGAATATTCTCTGAATGTTACTTCCAGTAATCTTGTTCTTACATTCACTCCCATGGTGAATTCATTTGCCTTCATCAATGCCTTGGAAGTTGTTTCTGTCCCTAATGAACTGATTCCCTCGAGTGTTCCCACTGTTGAGAAGCTTGTAAGAAGTTTGGGGAACAGGGCGTTGGAGACTGTTGCTAGAGTGAATATGGGCAATGAAACTGTTTCTCCGAACGATGATACTCTCTCACGCCTTTGGGTTGCGGATGGGCCATTCTTGATGCATAATGATCAGGTCATCGTTGGAAAGTTTGTGTCAAATCTTACAAAAGTGAATATGACAAGAGACTCTGAAATTATGGCCCCCCGTTCTGTATATGGAACAGCAACTCAATTAGGAGCTGATGCTGATGCGAATGCTAATGTTAATGTATCGTGGTCATTCGACGTCGATCCAGGCTATGAATATCTGATTCGTTATCATTTCTGTGATATTATAGATCTTTCTCTCAGATCGCTGTCCTTCAATGTTTATGTTAACTCATGGAAGGTTAAAGATCATCTTGATATTGGTAAGCTCACTTCGGGCATCCTAGGTGCACCCTATGTTCTGGACACCATAGCCAGTCCAATTGACAGCTCTAAGTTCAAAATCAGTGTTGGCCCTAGCAACTTTCATGAGTACTCAGCTGCCATTCTTAATGGGCTCGAGATCATGAAAATAAGCAATTCTCGGGGGAGCCTTGACGAACCCTCGTTTGATTTAGACTCGAAGAAAGTTTCCAATGTAAAAGTTGGTCTTATAGCAGGCTTGGTTGCTGGACTGCTTGTTGCTGCTGTTTTGGCCACTCTCGTCATTGTGTTGTGCAGAAGAAGAAGGCGATTGGCGCTCGTTCGCCACTCGAAGGAAGAGGACAATTATGGTGTGAATGGAAGAGAAAGCAAGTATATCATTGGATCTGTTGGCTTTTCAAGCTCGAAAATCGGTTATCGATATCCTCTTGCAGCTATTCTGGAAGCTACAGATCATTTTAGTGAAAGTTTAGCCATTGGCCTTGGAGGGTTTGGGAAAGTTTACAAGGGAATGTTAAGGGACAACACAGAAGTGGCAGTGAAAAGAGGGACTTCGAAATCTCAGCAGGGTCTTGCAGAGTTCCGAACCGAAATCGAGATGCTATCCCAATTTCGCCACCGTCATTTGGTATCTCTGATCGGGTACTGCGATGAGCAAGATGAGATGATTATAATTTATGAGTACATGGAAAAAGGGACCCTCAAGGACCATTTGTATGGATCAGAACTTCCAAGTTTGAGCTGGAAACAAAGGCTTGAGGTCTGCATTGGCTCAGCTAGAGGACTTCACTACCTTCACACTGGCTCCACAAAGGCAATCATCCACAGAGATGTCAAAACTGCAAACATTCTTCTAGATCAAAACTACATGGCCAAAGTTGCAGACTTCGGACTCTCGAAGATCGGCCCGGAATTCGACAAGACTCATGTCAGTACAGCGGTGAAAGGAAGCTTTGGCTATCTCGATCCTGAGTACTTAACGACGCAGCAACTGACCGAAAAATCAGATGTGTACTCTTTTGGCGTGGTAATGTTTGAAATCCTTTGCGGTAGGCCTGTCATTGATCCATCTCTTCCAAGGGAGAAGGTGAATTTAATTGAATGGGTGATGAGGAAGGGAAGAGATCAGCTGGAGGCGATCGTTGATGCTTGTATTGTCGAGGAAGTCGAGCTAGAATCTCTAAGAAAATATGTAGAGACAGCAGATAAATGCTTGGCAGAATGCGGGATGGATCGTCCAACCATGGGAAACATTCTGTGGAATCTGGAGTGTGCACTCCAACTCCAAGGGAATGAAAGATCTCTTCATTTAAAGGAATCATCCTCACAAGCTGATCTTTCCAACAGTTGGGAGGCGAGTGTATCGACGACTCAATTCAGCACGGGAAGTGCTGTCGATATCGCCGGTGTTTCGATGAGTAAGGTATTTGCTCAAATGGTGAGGGAAGATATGAGATAGGCTACACTCTTATCATTCAAGAAGAACACACGAATGAATCATCAGTAGATTTTGTATAAAAGTGAAGGAATTCAATTCTGTAATGTGTATTGTATTATGGTGCATCTCACATTGTTTAAGGTGATCGAATTGATTTATATATAATCGTAGCGGAACTTAAATGGTATGGCGGTGTTCGAGTTTTCACTTCATTTGGGGTCACGAAAGTGTCCTTGTATGTTTTGATTTTAGTATAATATTCGAATAAATGGAGGGTAACCTTGTAATTTTTAGAATAATAATAATATTTTATGAGAGAATAAAAATAAAGTTACATAGTAAAAAAAATAAAAAATTAGAAATTCACCCCTTTTATTTGACACAAATAAATCGATTAACCTTTTAAAAAAAAATTTAAACACAATTAAAGTTTTAGAGATTAATTTAACTACGAGACAAGTTTTATAGACAACTTAATAATTTGAGGGAGTTTTTGCTTGAGTGGAGTGGCGGCGGATAGAATATCCCAATGTCACGGTTCAAAATTCAACCGGCCGGTTCACAAGAACCGAGAAAACCCCATCATAAACGTGAGCCGCAATTGCACTGCTAATCCGGCCCGGACGAACTCTCTCACTCAGCCTTAGACAGAGAGAAAGAAGAAAGGGGGAAGGACGTTCAGGTTCAGAGCCTGTGGGCGCCTGGAAATGGATAGGGTTTCCGAGAAGGAGAAATCGAGCAAGCGTTCTCGAGAAGAACGCGATCGAGACCACAAGCATCGAAGTCGAGACGCCGAGGAAAAGCATTTCTCTAAGGATGAAAAGCATCGTGAATCCGATCACCACCATCGCCGGCGGCACCATCGATCGGACCGTGATTCGAAGCGCGAGCGTTCCCATGAGCCGCGCGATCACGAACATCGGCGGGAAAGGTCTTATGAGCATAGGGAGGATAGAGAAAGAAGTAGAGACAGGGATTCGTCTAAGAGAGAGCGGTCAAATGAACCGAGAGGGGTGAGAGAGGGAAGTGAAGGGCGGGGCAAGCTGCGCAAGGTGAGGCACGAGCAATCAGACAATGATCATGAACAGGAAGGGTCGTTCGAGCCAACCCAGAATTCTGTACGCTCAAACAAGAGGAAGGAGAGGGGAGGAAGTGAGGATAGGTTTGATGGCGGTGAGAAGAAGGCTAGGGCTTCGGAAGATGGAAAGGATCTTAGACGGATTGAAGATGGGAATGAAGAGAATGGAGCTGAGACGGGTGCGAAAAAGGAGCGGAGGAGATTGGCTGACGATGAGAAAGATGGCGAAGCGAACTTGAGTGGTAGGGGAAGGAGGGAGAGGAAGCGGTTTGAGGATAGGGTAGAGGAAGAGGATAATGGTGGAAATGCCGAGGATGGGAAAGTTCAGTTTGGAGGCACCACTGATGATAAAGGGTCACTGGGGAATGTAAGTTCCATGCATATACTCCATTTTTATCGTAATGAATTACACTAGTATAATATCTTCATAAAACATTGCCATTGATTGTAAAACCATTTTACTGTTCATAAGCGTTCACGTACCGATCAGGTTCTATCATCTATGCTTGCCACTGTGTTTTACTTTACATTTCATTTGGTAATTCAATTTCGTTCCACTGTTCAAATCATCAGTGGTGGGGAAAGTGTCTCTTGTTTCTGAAAAATGTAACAAAGTACATTTGAAGAGACTTTTCAGACTCCTTCATATCTCCTGAACACTTCAAGGTTCTTTCCTCGCTGACTTCACTCTTTTCTGTTATTTTATGTTGTTTCTCCCCTTAGGCTTGCTGAGGTCGCTACATGGATTTGAGCCCTCACAAACATTCCTTCTAACTAATTTCCCCCGCTCAACACCCCTTTCTTTTCCTCCTTTTAGAGCTTTGCGTGTAAATGTATCTGAAGAAAGATGCATCAGATCCAAAGAGTAATTAAATCCTTGTTTTCTGGAACTTGCAGGAAATTAATTATAATGTGGTTGTGTAACCTCTTGGCTTTCTTTATGAGAGGGGGTTTTTGTGTGGGCAAACTTGTCTCTCTCTAAACACAGTGAAGCCTGATAATTTTTTTCGGCAGGATGTTTATTATTCATAGGGGTATGAAATGTATAGTCGTGAACAAGTTATGTTTCTTTGTATAAGAACCCATTTCATTGATAGTATGAAATGCCCAATTACTCACAATAGTCTTATTCTAATTAGGTGCTGTTGATAGTGGGTATAAGCTCAAGGATTTTATTTGATTAAGCTATGCCAGTTAAAGTTATACCATAATGAATTTTCTAAGTTTAAGCTTTGAGGGGATGTATTCTGTTTCGAAGAAGAAATATTTATATTCAAGTCAGGGTTTTTATTCAGTCATGGGTATATCAAGCATCCTGACAATCTTCTAGTCATTAATTTTGAAGTGGAAGTGAGACTGAGGTTACTAGATGTTTCTTGGATGTCAGAGCAGACATATTTTGTACCTTTGTTAATTGTATGGTTTATAACGTACGCACAGGTTCCTTATAGTGATTCTTACCTTGTTTACATTTGTTTTGGTATTATGTATATATCGATTAATTCTATAATATTGAGATTCTTTCATGATTATGATGCCTTTAGGCAGTGGCTAGTAGTGAACTCAAGGAGCTAACGTCATAATCTTGCAGGGAGCTATGGTAGAACCCATCAATATGTCATCAGGAAGTGTGCCCCAGAATTTTTTACACCATAGTCATCCCCTTCCTATCAAGGTATCTTCAATTTCTACCACAAATGAAAATAAGGGAGTTAGTATTACCAGATCTCATGAGGTTCATGGAAAATCTAGTACAGATGGGACATCTTCAACTGCTGGGAAAAGTGGAAATCTCTCTCTTGATGCTTTAGCTAAAGCTAAGAAAGCCTTACAGATGCAGAAAGAATTGGCCGAGAAGTTGAAGAAAATTCCTCTGGTAAGTTAGGAAACAGAGATACTTTGATCCAGCCTAGCTATCTTCCCCATACTCTAATGTTGGTTTTAATTATATATGGATGTATGTATGGGGTATTTCCTCTGTGTATCAAGTGTTTCTATTTGATCTTTTAGATGAAGAAGTTTGGGGGGTCAAGTTCTGCAAGCAGCTCAGTTGTGAAATTGGAGGAGAAAGCTAAACCTGGTGTATTGGGGCAATCGCCAACTACAAATAATGCTACAACCCTTTCAATTGGGGTAGCATCAAGTTCATCGACATTACCTTCTGTTGCCAGTGCACTTAATGGTGGTATTAATGTTCTGGCTGGCCTTACCTCTATACCCCATTTTGAAGCTGTCAAACGTGCACAGGAGCTCGCTGCTAGGATGGGATTTCGACAGGATCCAGAGTTTGCTCCTCTCATAAATTTGTTTCCAGGGAACACAGCAACAGACGTTGCTGTTCCACAAAAGCTAGTCAAGGCCCCTGTTCTTTGTCTTGATGCACTTGGCAGGGAAATTGACGAACAAGGAAATGTTGTTAATATAACCAAACCCAGCAACCTTAGTACTCTTAAGGTTTGGAATGAACTTATAAAACTTCTAGAGTTTTTTATTTTTATTAAAGATGAAATTTGAATGGATTAACCTTGTATATATATTTTTTTTAATTCGCAGGTTAACATCAACAAGCAAAAAAAGGATGCATTTCAGATTCTTAAACCTGAACTTGATGTGGATCCAGATTCAAACCCTCATTTTGATGAGAGGATGGGTATAAATAAAACGAAATTGCTGAGGCCAAAGAGAATGAGTTTCCAGTTTGTTGAGGAAGGGAAGTGGTCTAAGGAGGCTGAAACCATAAAATTGAGGGTACTTATAGTTTCTTTCACACTTGTTTTTTGGTGAAAGAACGTTTGCGTACTTTATATTGAAAAATCTCTTATTTTTTTTGTTATAGAGTAAATTTGGAGAGGCACAAGCTAAAGAACGAAAAGAGAAGCAAGCACAATTGGCCAAGGCAAAGGCTGCACCTGATATAAATCCGAATTTGATCGAGGTATCAGAGAGAGTTATCGTGAAGGAAAAAACGAAAGAATCAATTCCTGAAATTGAGTGGTGGTAAGCTGTTATTTTCTATTCTGGTATTTCTTGAACTATTTTGTTCTGTTTTTTATATATAAAAAAATTGTAAGCTAGGAGTTCAAACTGCTTACATCCATTTTTCCCGTTCTCCTGTTGTGTAGTCATTTTATTTTTAGCATTTTGTTAATTTCTAGCTTATATTGGGGCATCTTCTGAGATTCAATTTTAATATGCTATTATTTTATAAAAATATTTAGGGATGTCCCCCTTTTGCATTCCGGCACATATGAGGATGTGGGAGATGGTGTTGTGGCCAATGAAAAATTAAGGAAGGATAAGATTACTATATATGTGGAGCATCCTCGTCCTATTGAACCTCCTGCTGAGCCAGCTCCCCCACCTCCTCAACCCCTAAAGCTAACAAAGAAGGAGCAGAAAAAACTTCGTACACAGCGTCGTCTAGCAAAGGAGAAAGATAGACAGGAAATGATTAGACAAGGCCTGATAGAACCACCTAAACCAAAAGTTAAAATGAGCAATTTAATGAAAGTTCTTGGCTCAGAAGCAACCCAAGATCCTACTAAACTCGAGAAGGAGATTCGTGCTGCAGCTGCTGAGAGGGAACAAGCTCACATTGATAGAAATGTTGCACGAAAACTTACCCCTGCAGAGCGCCGCGAGAAGAAAGAACGCAAACTTTTTGATGATTCAAGTTCACTTGAGACAATTGTGTCTGTTTACAAAATCAACGATTTATCACACCCACAGGCCCGGTTTAAAGTCGATGTTAATGCTAGAGAGAACCGTTTGTCTGGATGTGCTGTGATATGTGATGGCATCAGTGTACTGTTTGTTGAAGGGGGAAGCAAGTCCATCAAAAGGTATGGGAAGCTTATGCTCAGGCGTATAAATTGGACCGATTCTGTGAAAGAGGAGGATGATGAGGAGGAACATGAAGACAAGCCTGTCAACAAATGTTCATTGGTATGGCAAGGAAGTGTTGCCAAGTCTAGCTTCAATAGATTTTCTATCCACGAGTGCATGACCGAGGCAGCTGCTCGGAAGATTTTTGCTGATGCTGGTGTCGGTCATTATTGGGATCTCGCTGTTAACTTCTCTGATGATCAAATATAATCAAACTTCTGCACTGGTAGTTGATGCGATGTGATTCAGTCAGTGTCTTGTATGGTAGAGATACAGGAAATGCGGAACTGTTCAAAGCAAACATATCATCACAGTATTGCTAGTCTTGCCTGCTGTTTCTATTGATAGGTGAGAAGATTTCATTATGTTCCAACTCACCTATCCGATGGGTTCCTGGAAATTTTGCTGATATCTTGAACCAGAACCGAGCTCTGTATGAAAAAAATCTTGTAATTGTTGATGATCAGTTGGTAGCAAAGAACAGCTTGGAAATCTTATCAGCCCAAGATGAGCTCAAGAAAATGGTATTATGTCCAATTCGTCTATAGTAGTCCTCATTTCTTGTACGCTTATAGAAAATCTAGATTCATAACTGAGGAATGCTTGATAATCCATTCCATTTGGTAGATAGATGAGGGGAGGTGTTCCTTTTTTTATCTTCTTGTTTCTTTTTAATTGTAGGTTCATAGGAGATTTGAATCCTTGGCGGAAAAGTCATGACCAATATACAATTTCATCATTGATTAAGGGTGAGTGAGTCTCATATATCTTGGTATTTTCGACCATCAAATACTCGAGTACGGTATAAGAATTTGAACTTCCGACTTGATGGAAGAAGGAAGGGAAAAATTATATGTCGATTACTAAAGGCTCACTTTTATCAAATATTTTTTTCATTTTACTTTTGTAGTAAAATTTAATTTAATAATCTTTAGAACCTTAGGAAGTGTTGCGGTCTCTTTTCAGATTATACTGCTTTCAAACATGATATTTAAGAGAGAAAAATGTGTTTCCTCCTGGGCTCTATAAAACTGTTATTTTTTATTATATAAAAATGAATATTCAAATGGATATAGAAATTACTGTTCGCTAAATAAATAAATATATAGAAATTTGCGTGCTTTTATTTATTTATTTATATTTTGAGAACATATTATATTGTTCTAATTTGATAATTATACCTGGTTCGGCCATTTGCCCACCGTGTGTGTAAGGCAAGAGTCAAACAAGTCATCTTTTAATTAATTGGATAAATTTGATACACTTTCATAACATTTTTTGTTTACTATTAGAAACATAATTGCCTATTAAAAAACTGAATAACTTTCAAAAAACAGAGGACAAAATCAATTTTCGAAGGAGAAAAAATTAATAGCAAAATTCAAATCACATACGATTCTCATACATACATTAAAATACAATTTACTTTTATTTCTCTATCAATCTTTGCTAGTGCTAGTAATACCAATAAATAATGAACAGTTATGATGATTCCTGAACAGAATGCTATTCCTCTCTCCCATTCAAGGCATATATTGATAGTTTCACTCAAATCTTAACACTGTACCTGTCCATCCTTCTATACTGTTACAAACTGGAGATGGGAATAGTGTAATCTTCCTCCGAAAGTTCAGTCGATATGAAGCATCCTTTGTTTTTTACATCAGCTTGTTGAGGACAGTAAAAGTGTCCAGTTTGCTAGGAACAACAGGATGCACCTACTTTCTTTTCTTTTGTTTTATGAGGATGCTCGTGTAAAAAAGTCGTTCACAGCAAGACTTGCATCTCCATGAGCCACCGCATCTTCAGGCTCTGGCATATAGAGGGTTGTAGATGAAGCCTGCAAATGAAAATCGAGTCGTCACATTCAAACACGAGACAATGTCAAAGTTTATGTTGTAAACCACTTCTAGAATTCAAAATATGCAACAAGTTTCACATATTATATATAACTCATGCATTTGATTCTTTTTCGAAATGAGGCGACCTACTATGATATGTTCACATGGCCCGCTTCGCACAAACATTTATATACGTGCACCTATGAAGCAAATTTTAACCTGGAATACACAGGCTAAGTAACACTACGATGTACTTTAAGCCAAAATTTTAACAATGCATGCACATGGTCCAGGAAAGATAAAGATGAATCACTCACTATTTACGTACTTGTTACACTTTTAATCCATATTATTCTTTTTTATGACCCTTTCTAGTTGAGAGCATAGGGGATTCGAGATAGAAGGAAATGCTCCCTGGCATTCAGGTTTTCCTTTTCCTTCTGCTGTTTTGTAAATTATTCGACTTGAGAGGAACATAATTTTTTTTTTTTTAATATCTGTGTGTGCCTAGCCATCTTGCCTTTACTATTCTTCCAAGACAACTGGTTACCCTTTTATGTATAGTTACCCAGCTAACTTATAGGTTATTATACCCTACATACGTGGTCATCAAGACTTGACCTCGCTCTTTACCAACCAGGAAACTCAAGGAGTGGTACAATCTTGGAGATTTTACCCAGCTAACTTATAGGCTATTATACCCTACATACGTGGTCATCAAGACTTGACCTCGCTCTTTACCAACCAGGAAACTCAAGGAGTGGTACAATCTTGGAGATTTTTGGACTTCAGCAAGACCACGTTTTTTCCAGTAGAATTTTGTAAATACCTTCCAGGATTTTGTTTTTTTTCTAAACCGAGATACATAAAGTATCTTTTCTAGTGCGCTTTTCTTGTTAATGGGCCCTTGGTTATTCATTATATAAAAAATAAAAATAAACAATCCATTCAAAGGTCGATCATAAAGGCGAGAATCAACTTACTTTTGCATCAAGCTGCATCTCTCCATTATTATCTGTTATGAGGCAAGCTCCATGCCCTTTCAACCATTCCGTACATTCTTCTAATCCATCCACGTCCTTGTCCCTAACTTCGTCTCCAGATGAAGTAGAAAAGCCTAAGACCTGAGCAATGTAAGGAACAGGTAGAGAAGGGCGATATGAACGAGACATGGAATTTAGAGCTTTGTAACGCATCTTTTCTGAGTAGAGATCTGCAAAGAGGCAAAAGAGAAATAATTGGTTTGTCCTTTAAAACAATTGGCATTTACCAGCATAATATTTCTCAATTAAGTAACTTTAATGGACAAGGGACCCACCCATCAGACATGCATTTAAGTTGGGAGCTGCTTTGTACAGTCTGAAGAACTTGACATAATTCCCAGAGGTGACAGCAGCACGAACTGCGAGAGCATGGCTAACAGCTACATCTTTTTTTGCTTGATCTGACAACCTTTCCTCAGGACAAGGAAATTCAACAAAAAAAATCAGCAAGTGGATACAACTAAGATTCGACAACAAAAATCAACTTTGTTCATAAAAATATGGAGCAAGTGGAATACAACTAAGATTCTACAAGTTAAACCAACAAAAGCTTAACCAGGAACCCATATTCAGAGCAACAACCGTTACTCGATACCACAGATTTGTCACATGCTAGCTAAATTTTGTAAGAAAGCAACACCTGCGGGGCACATAAATGCTCTCAATTACTCAAGAAACTTCAATTTAACATGGGCTTTTAAAGAGTTTGTTGACTTCAGATACACCTAGATTCACGAGAAACTTGTTTTAAAGGATAGTTCAACGATGTAACAGCTAGTATGAGTTAAGATTTGAAAAATGTGTTTTAGCCCACATCCCTGGTTAGAAGGGGTAACCAAATTGAATAACCTTTCCATGTTTACATAGTATTTGAATATTTCAATTGAGGGAACTTAAATCCAAAGAAACCACAAACAGTAAACATTCAAATTTTACAAGACGGTGATTAATCTTTCATAATGCTGGGCGCACCAATTAACAAAATAAAGAAATGTAGAAAAACAGGGAATGATGCTCCACTGACCTTGACATCAATGATAATAGATCTCTTTTGTTGTTAGAGTGCAAGATCGCACAGAGTAAGTTATAAGCAGCAAATTCCATGTAACATCCCTCAATTCCCTCGGCATACAGAGTCGTTAGCTGTGATTGGCACTGAAAGCACAGAAAATAGGCTTGAAAGTTGAATCTTCTTACATAATTCCTTCTTCGAATTTATAAACCAGGAAAAGATTTCCAAAATCATTAAAGTAAAAAAACTAAACCAATAGACTTTAAAATTAAACAGTGGACTGAAGTCATCTTTTCTACAAAAATAAAAAATAAATAATAAATAAATAAATAAGAAGGAACAAAAGTCAAGAAGATGGTATCTGTGTACTCAAATTGAAACTCCAGCAATTATATTTCCACACAAACCTGATTATACTCCGGCAGGTCACCAACTTCTAAGGCTAATCGACCGTGAGTCTCGTATACCTGAGAAATTTCACCAAGCGTTAAAATAATTCCACATGGAAGATGGGTTTGCAAATAAACATGGAATTGATCATTGAGTATCGATAAAAAAAAAAAAAAAAAAAAAAAAAAAAAAAAAAAAAAAAAAAAAAAAAAAAAAAAAAAAAAAAAAAAAAAAAA